CACCCAACACACAGTGCTATGTGCTGGGGGTACAGCAGAGAGTGAGGCCAGGAAGGGCTCGGGGAGCGCTGGTGTGGTGCAGACATGTTCCAGCCCATTGGAGCACCAGAGGCTGAGCTCCCTGTGAAGGGGTCCAGCCCAGACTCAGAGGGTTGGCAGGGGCTCTGTGTGGGAGCGAGTTTTGGAAGACTGAGGCTGAAGGGTGAGCAGGAGGCACCCAGGTCTAGAGGATTCAGAGCAGAGGGAAGGACATGTGGACCAGCAGGCAGCATGAGCATCATGCTTTGGGGAGATGGGCAAGCGATACAGTCTGGCTAGAGGTAAGATGCCGGCTTGGGAGGAAGACCCAGAGATGAGGTTGGGGGTGCAAAAGACAGACCCAGAGCCTCACAACTAGGATTAAAGCTTCACAGTATCCCGAGATGATGTGGCTGCTGGCTTTTGTGAATTGAGGTGAAATTCATGTTATATTAGTCTTTTTTTTTGCATGCTATATATGTGTGTGTGTTTAGTACATTCACAATCTTGTGCAACCAACACCATCTAGTTCCAAAACATTTTCATCACCCCAAAATAACCTCTATACCTATTAGGCATTGTTCCCTACTCCCCAACCCTTCTGTCTCTGTGGATTTACCTATTCCGGAAATTTCTTATCAGTGGAATCATCCAATATGTGGCCTTTTGTGACTGGCTTTTTTCATTTGGCAAAATGTCTTCAAGTTTCATCCATGTTATAACCTGTGTCCATGCTTTATCCCTTTTCATGGCTGAATAATATTTCATGGCATGGGTAGATCACCTCTTGTTTATCTGTTGGATAGAGGAGTCAGATTTGTGTGCTGGAAGGGTTCATCTGGCTGTGGAGAGGAGGCGGCAGTGAGGTGCTTCCAACCATCCAGCTGGAAGATGACAAGGAGTGGGCAGTAGAGCAAGAGATGGACACCCAGGTCTTCTGCCAAGATCTCCCACCCTGTGCCTGTGGAAAGCCCTTCGCTCTGGCATCGGGGTGGGGGGGTTCTGGAGAAGGCAGGGGCTGGCCTTGGGAAGCTCCTTGTCCTTGAGGGGATCCTGCCATACCCAATTCCAGCCAGACCAAACCTGCCTGCCTGCCGCCCCTCCCCTTTTCCCCTTCGTACTGGAGTCAAAATGCCACCTGACTTCTCAGCATCCCCTTAGATGGAATCTAGCCGACATCTCAATCCAGACCTCAGCAGACAGCCATGCTCTGCCCTGTGGCCAATCTCCCTGTAGTGAATGCTCTGTATTTTCGTCTCAGTGGCTGAGGTTGGTAACATACTGGGAACACTGAATGCACTCGGAAAACACACAGGTGAGAAGGAGGAAATGCAGGCTCATCTTTGGACGGGGGCACAACAAAATTGCCAGCATCTGTGTAGATAGTTGGGCCAGCCTGTCAGAAAGGCAGACTCTGAACGAGGCAGGACAAAGGAACTTGATTCTTTCTCCCAACGCCTCTTTGTGCCTGTCCTCTGTTATTTTTCTTCTTGGGGTGAACTGCATTTTCACCGGCCTTCTGGTCATAATCCGCGCAGTTCAGTCTCATAACCATAGAACTCTAAGTGCTACTCATCTCGAAACGTCACCCCTTCCCCAGCAGGGCTGCTCTGGCTGAGAGTTTTGCAGAGGACAGGCGGGAGGGCAGGTGGGCAGGGGAGCCTAACTTGACCCCACTGTTATACTCAACCTTAGCACTACTGATATTTTGGTCTAGAAACTTCGTCGGGATGAGGGGTGGCCTTGTGCACTGTGGGAAGTGTAACAGCATCCCTGGCCTCTACTCACCGCTGGCACAAGCCATCTGATGTCGTCATTTGGCATAAAGAGAAATCCAAAGAGAGAAGGACAATGACAGTGGTGATGAGGAGGATGGTGATGGTGATCATGCTGATTGTGGTGATGGCGAGGAGGATGAGGATGGTGGTGAGGATGACCGTTGTGATGATGGTAGTGGTAGTGTGTGGTGGTGATGGCAATGCTGCTGATGCCCTTGATGAAACTGGAACACAACAACATGACTTTCAAACAACAAGGCCAAACTCACTCGGGTGCTCTACAGCAAACCTGGAATTTGACTCCAGTCCTTCCACATGCCTTATCTCATTCTCAAAGCTCATGACATGGACTAGAAATATGAAGCCCGATTCACAGAGAAGAAACTTCAGAAAAACTGCTAACCCTCTTTGAAAGTGACAAAATCGCGACTCAACCAAGGCTTCCTGGTTTCCAAGCCAGTGTGCACCTCCCAGGGCATCACCCCTTTCTGTTTTAAGAAGAACGAAGGGTTGTGGTCTGGCTGTAAATGAAAGCTGTCTGCTCCTCGAAGATGCAGCTACTGTTTTCAATCGCGGAAACAAATGACAGAATAAAGCCAAGTCGCACACTGTCTGGAAAGCACTGTTACCAGTGGATCAACTGTAAAGGCAGCTTAAAGAATAAATATCTGCCATCTACCATGGGTGCAGCAACCTAATCCAGCACTTTCATGAACAATCGATGTTTTCCTGGTACTTAGAGCGAAAGAGGCTGTTCCCTGCCATACATAGGTCAAGAGCGCACATCAGCCCCACTACTTGTGCTGTCAAATAGACTCTCCGGCAGGCTCTTTCATACCACAACATTTATTGAGCACCTACTGTGTGCAAGGGACGGCGGCAACTCCAGAAATTTATATAGCATGGGTTTAGGGGCTTCGGTCTAGTCGAAAATGGGTAGGGAGTCTATGGGCCTTGTCCTGAACCATGTGCGCAAAGCGGGCAGACAGCTTTTACGAGGGGTGGCATAGGAGAAACTGAAGGTTGCAGGGGGGAATTAAAATCCGACGCCACCCCGTGGGGAAGCTTTACACAAGGACCCGCAGAAGGTACTGCGGTGAGTGAAATGCAAACCCTGCCTTCCAGAAGAAGCAAGCCATCAACAGCATCCCTTGGGTTTCTGTTGACTTGCGCTTACCCCTGAAGCACCAGCGTGGGTCGGCACCACACCTCTTCTCTCTCCTGGATGAGCAGCAAGGTTGCAGCTGGGCCTGGATGAAGCTGGCGTGTTGGGGGAGGGCTGCCGTCCATCCACGTCAGTTCCAGGAACTTTGCTCAGGGCCGTTTCCTGAAACGCCTCTCCTCTGGCCCTGAGTTGTTCAGTCATACAACTCCAGTGTAAAAACCCTTCAGTGTCTCCCATCACCAGCACGAGGACGTGCAGTTGTCTCAGCTCAGTTCTTTGAACCCTTCACGGTCTGGTCCCTGTAGAACTCTGCAGGCACCCCAGACCCAGGCACATGGAACATCGGGCAAGTTCCTTCGTAACCATGACCTCTCTCCTTTCTTCCCTCTGCCTCCTGTTTTGCCTTCCCCCCTGCCTGCCTCGAGGTCCCCTACTCTTTTTTGAGGCTTCATCTTCGGAGCAAGAAGCATCACCTCCTCCAGGAATGCCTCCGAGATGCCCCCAAGATGACTCTTCCCTGCACTTACCTTCATTATAACTCCTGCCACAATTGCAAGTCTAAATATACCACTCCTCGGCGACTTCTCTGAGCGCAGCACGGTGCCTGGCACATAACAGATGCCCGACAAAATGCTAGGGAGAGGGAGACAAGAAGAGAAAGACATAAGAGAGAAATAGAAGAGAGAGAGGGAGAAGAAAAAAGGAAAGGGAGGAGCTTGAGGTTGTATCTGTCCATGACTGATGCAGCCAAAGCTGAAATCATCTGGAAATCTTTCAGTAGAGATCTATTGTATCTAGCAGGCCTAAGGTGGCACACGTTTCTGTGGTGCGCCGAAGTGCTTTCGGGATAATTAACTGTCCATTGTGGTCCAATTATTTAGTGTCAAGGCACTTTCTTACAGCTGAGTCTTTGAAGATGTGTCATCCTTTAATGCTCTGAATACTGACAGCAGTTTGTAACTACTTGAGTGAGACTTCTCCGTCCCACCCTCTGCCCGACCCCTGGAACATGACAGATAACTCGGTTGACTTTGAGGAATTTGTTCCGTGATAAATGGAAAGCTCTTTCTGCCTTACATGAAAACGCAGGTTCCAATTAGCAAGCTGTCAGCACGTTCTGCATCAAAGAAGAATGAGAGACCTTCGTCACAGCCCAAGCAAGTAGCCCTGTGCCCAACACAGTTGTCACCTACTAAATGGCGGCCAGACATGGGCGTGTTGAAGGCAGTCCTTCTTACGATGCAGTATTTGACTTTGCAGCGAGTCCCATGTGGGCAAGACCGTTGCATAAGTGTGTCTTCAAAAACCCTCCCTAGGCGCAAATCCGTGCATCCTGTCTGTGGGAAGGAACTGCATGTCCTGGTCACATGTGCAGCCTGTGCCTGCCTCATCCCCCAGTCCCTGGCCTGGAGCCTGACACATAGTAGGTCTTAGGAAATCACGTGTTGCCTGAAGCAGTGAATCAAAGGCTTACCGAATGCCCACACTGTGTTTTTTTCTTTTTCTTCTTAATAATTTTATTTATTTATCTATTTATTCTATTATAAAGATGTGTGGTACAATTCAGGGTCAACATTGATTATGCAGGTACCCTTGTTGATGAGGTGTGCCCCTCCCTCCCCTAGTAGTTTCCCTCAAC